CCCTAGAATTGAGCCACTTGCTCTGATGAACTCCCTTTGCCTTGATAACTTCGAGTAGTGGACATGGATGTGCAATATCCAATATTTACTCGAATTGTGATATTTCCCACAAGGCAGGAAAGGAAAATCCATAAAGGGATACATATGCCGCTGCCGAGTTGAAAACGAAGGATAAATATATTGTTGAAACATAAAAAAACAAACGTATTGTACGTAGGCAAAACAAAATACTACTCATGATTTCACCCGTCAAAAGCTACTGACGAGTACAAGCCTGGGTGTGCCTGGGTGACTGTCAAGACTCACACACCTCGACACCAGCTTCCACCTATCATCACCCACGGATCAGCCCATCCTCATAAACAAAGACCCCTAAGTTCATTCCATTCACCCGCCAAACCCCCCCCCCTGTTTATGCAACCTGTCCTCGACTCAAGTCCATTACATTCAGCGGTCGACCCCACAGACGCAGTCATCAATTTTTACATGCTGTTCATTCAAAACGGGAATTTTCTCAAATATAAATTATATTATAATATATTAGCATATTGTGTATATATAGGCATAGGTTAGGTTAGGTTAGGTGTTTAGGTTCTGTTGGCGATTATTTGTATTTGTAGTACGTGGGTGAAGCATTTACAGCGTTGTGGTTCGAATAAAATTCGTCAGTGAAGCACTTGTTCCGGAAGTGTTCGAACGAAATCAGTTGTGAGTCGTGTGCAAACCGTTTTTTCATTCATAAACAGGGGGGTTGGCGGGTGCATGGAATCACTTTTAGGTCTTTGTTTTTAGAACGGGCTGGGAAAGACAGTTGGTTACCCATCTTAGATTTAACGGTCTCGGAAGCTAACGGTTCTTTCGTATTTCAGTCTATACTCAGGTAATTAATATAGGAAGAGAGAATTAGTAATGCATAATTAATGCTTGTCGTGGATACCCTGACACGTATTCACTTAGATGTGCTTGTGAGAGTTGAGCTTCGGCTTTTTGGTCCCGCCTCTCATTCGTCAATCTACTGGTGTACAGACTTTACGTACGTACTCGCGAAGCGTTGTCGACCTCAATGTCCATCGTTAAGCGCACCTCGAGCTCAAGGAAGATTAACGAGGAGCTCGATAGAGTGAGGCAGGTCCTCGTCAACAACGGATACACTAACTGTTACTTCGGAGTTATTAAAAGGACCGTAAACCGTCATACTACCTTTAAAGAGGTGGACACTACAGAACAAATCCACAGGGCCGTGACGAGGATTCGAACCTACGTCCGGGAGCATCCCAGACGCTGCCTTAATCGACTGAGCTACTACATGGTCAAAAAGAGTTGAAAACCGAAGTTCTACTGATCTTATTGGATCCTGCAGCCTCTCTGAGGCACAAACCAGGGTTTTACACAACTTCCCCCTGCACTCGAGCTATGTCAAAAGGCCGTTCTCCCTCTTCGCCACCCAACCACTTGGGCTGGACGGTAGAGCGACGGTCTCGCTTCATGCAGATCGGCGTTCAATCCCCGACTGGCCAAGTGGTTGAGGCACCATTCCTTCCCCCGTCCCATCCCAAATCCTTATCCTGATCTCTTCCCAGTGCTATATAGTCGTAATGGCTTGGCGCTTTCCCTTGATAACTCCTTCGTTCTCCCTCTTCGCCCTTACTTCATTACAATTCAGACGATTAAGGCAGCGTCTGGGATGCTCCCGGACGCAGGTTCGAATCCTCGTCACGGCCCTAGTGGATTTGTTCATTTGATGCATCACGCTATTGTGACTTGTGTGTGTAATGGACACTGCAGAATATGTCTCATCTCTTCTACCGGAACGTTCCTCAACGGCTCACAAGTTGGAGTAAAGAGTCTGGAAGACGCAGAAACGTGGGTCATGCTAACACTGACCAACAGACACAGCTCAACATATGCAACAAGAGAAGGAAGACAGCCATCTCACTCGTCAAGAACTCTCCCGACACAAAACGGAACGACTTGAAAGAGACGAATGTAGTCTACGGCTTTACACGCCCACTTGGGGACTGTCAGCCCCAACTTTTTCAACATATAGGCAAGACAACAACATCTCTTTCAAGGCGCCTGACAGTGCATGAACAAAAAAGCTTTATAAAGAAAATCACAGTTCTTCACATAACAAAATTAATGACAAATGCAAATAATACAAATACGCTGAAAGATTAGGCATAGCCTGAGCACTACACAGCAAACACCCGTCCAACTATAAACAGCCAGTTTACACTTGGGTACATCCTACCATCCTCCAGCCTAAGCTCACACCACCCACTGTACAGTGCCAAATGTATTCACTTTCCCTCTGCCCCTGATGATGTCCCTTCAGCAAAATTCATCTTTTTACATCACTCATCAAGCCCAATAACAGTGTAAAATGAACTGTTGGGGATTTAATTTTTAAACTTCGCTTTCAAGCGAAGAAGAACTTTAGGAATATAGTAAAGAATCGTCCTAGAATCATTGACCTAACCCTTACAGTTATGTTTATTAATACACGTCTTCAAGAAAGAGTTTTTCAAAAATATATAAGAATAAGAATATCATTCATCCTGTACAAGGACTCTCGAGGACTCTCTTTACTCCTATATGACTACACTACATATATGGTTACATACAGCCTCGGTCGATATATATATATATATATATATATATATATATATATATATATATATATATATAATATATATATATATATATATATATATATATAAATAAATATTGGTGTATACTGGCAGCAGGTTTCCTTTCAAACATGTTTCATTGAATATGACCGCATATTCTGTATTTATTATTTTCTGGTTTAGGGCTTCTATCCCTCTAACTATTTTCTTAGCATCAGGGCTTAATTGAAATAGGAGTTCTCCAAAACTCATTTTCGTACTTTTAAGGTGAAGAAAAGAAGTGATTTACTATAGAGTGTATTACACTTATTTGTATAATTTGCACGACGTTTCGAACCTCCATGGTTCATTCTCAAGTGAACAGATCTTACAATACTAGTTGATTTTATACCCGCATTAGGTCAGGTGATAATACAATGAAGGTGAAAACATGGGGGGATACATAAGGGATAAACATAGGGGCTGCAGAAGGCTTATTGGCCCATACGAGGCATCTCCTATCTAAACACAAAGATTAATCCAGTGTAATTGGCCTGTTATGTTGGACATTGTCTTCTGTGTTGGCATCAATATGTTCTTGTCTTGTCCTTACTCTCATGGTGGGTAGAGTAAATAGTTCCGTGATTTGGGTGTTCATGGTAGGTCGCTCTATTCTTATGTGAATTGCCTCAAGAATTTGTAATCTTCTTGCATCTTGGGTTTTGTCTATTATGCAGGTATTCTTGTTCAACATTTCTCTTCGTAGAGTAATGTCATGGGCTTGTCTCATGTGATTCCTAGGGGCACCGGATTGAAGATGGCATGTCAAACGCCTCGTCAGCTTGGTCGACGTCATACCTATGTACTTACATTGAAGGTTACATCCTTCGTGGGGGCACGTGGACATGTATACAACGCTTGACTGCTGTAGAGGGTTCTCCGTCGGCTTCGGGCTGTTTTTGATAAGGAGTTCGGAAGTCTTCTTGGTTTTGTAGAATATTATCAGGTTTATGTTTTGGTTAGGAGTAGTGCTTTTTACTCCTCCGAAAATGAGTTTTGGAGAACTCCTATTTCAATTAAGCCCTGATGCTAAGAAAATAGTTAGAGGGATAGAAGCCCTAAACCAGAAAATAATAAATACAGAATAAGCGGTCATATTCAATGAAACATATATAAATATATATATATATATATATATATATATATATATATATATATATATATATATATATATATATATATATATATATATATATATATATTTCTGGCTCTCTTTAGTGCCTTTCTACTATTATCTATTTATAATTTCAAGTTTTTTACAGTTCTTTTGTTCTTTCCTTAGCTTCCATGCATTGCCATTAAATTAAGGGCATTATTTGCGTTTCTCGTCCATCTTCTTTTTGAGAGTGATGACCTGCTCTCATCAACACATATTCTGGCTATGAATTCCACCATTCCTCTTTGTTGTCTTCCCTACCAATTCTCTCTCCCACTGAACTTCTCTCAGACAGGCGAGCAATCACTCTACTGGTCACTGCCACTGTCTGTCTGTCATCTCTCACCTTGCTCGACCCGTCTCTTGGTCTAACCTGCCTGTCTACGATAATGTAGGGGTTACTAGCTCCGAGAGACAGCTCATACTGCAGCTTCTCGAAGTCTGTCTCATTTTGGGCCAACACCGGGACTAGGGTTGCTGGCGGGTCCTCTTTCTTTATTCTTGTGAAGGCTTATTCCTCTTCCCTTATTCTTCAAGAAGAATTTCTCAGCTGTATCTATCTCAACTTTGTTCTTCATCTCTCATCATCCTAGTAAAGGTCATTAATTATCCAGTCTGTATCTCAGTTACTGATATCCTCTAATATTAGAATCTTAGACCTCAGCTCCCTTATCTCTGCGGTGGTCTTTTCCATTACCTTTATACAGAGTTTTATTCTGTTTACCTTCATTACGTCTTCCATTGTTTGATGGAGAATTGAAAATCATCGACGACACTACTAGCTTCATAGCACCCCAATGTTGCTCCTCCTAGAATGTATTCATCCTGATCGACCTCCTCTGATAACTGTATGTTCTTAAAGCTCCAATGTTGGTGAAGTAACAGAGCTACACTGTCTCTACCTCTGTTCACCCTCTCTTGTTCTGCTAACTGATATCCTCATTGGACAATCTCATCGTCTATAACACTGGTTAGTCATGCAGGGGTGTGGCTGGTGCTTGTGGTGGTGAGGGTAGTGGTGGTGAGGGTAGTGTCGGTGGGGGTGTGGGCGGTGTTGGGGTTCGGAGGAAGGGGTGGTGGTGGAGAGGGTGCGGGTGTGAGTTCGAAGGGCCTGCGCGCGTGCTGACTGACTATATAAGAGTGGTGGCAGCGTGGCCAGACCTCAAACCATCATCTCCGTGGGTCAGCGACACTCAGCATCTGCCGTCATCTCCTCTCCTCCACACTACACAACCACACACGTAAGTGTTCCGAGCTTTTGGGATTCGAGGGGAAGGAGGAGGAGGGGAATTTAAGGTAGGCTCCCCGATGTATACATTAAATTATCTGTAAAAGTTTTAGGCAATATTTAAAGAACGAATCTGTTTTTGGCTCACTCCAAGAGGGGTTCAGGGAGCTGAGGATGTTTGGGAGTTCAGAGTTGATAAAATTCACGGAGTTTCGAGAACTCAGGGAGCTAATTTCGAACGTTCAGGAGGCTGAGTGCGTTCAAAGAGCTGAGTGAGTTTACACAGTTGAGGGAATCCAGAGTGACGAAGACCCTTTGAGTGCTGACGAAGTATAAGCTGAGAAAGAGATCGAACCCGGGTCCTTGGACTGCAACTCCCAAGCGTTGTTCGTTTGTGAGACCGTGTACTCACCTATTTGTGCTTGGAGTATCGAGCTTAAGTTCTTGAATCCATGCTTTTTAGCCGCAAGATGTCTAATGTAATGACTCCAGGTTAATTTCTCTATCATACCTACTTTTGACATTATGAATGACATTTGCTTCTACTCCCTGCTAATTCAACTCATCCCATTTTCCACTATTACGCTAAAAGAAAATGATCTAAAATCTCTAATTACTCATTTCTCAATCGTCATCCATGTCCACTTGTCCTATTGATACTATATGTGAACATATTTTTTTCCCCACTGAAATTCACGTTAAGAATTTTACATGTCTCTATCATATCTTCTCTTTCACTCTCCTCATCTCCTTTCTAGCTACGTCAGGTCTAGTTCTTTCGATCTTTCTTCACGCCCAATCCCTCGCAATTTTAAGTCGAGCCTTCTTGCAAACCTTTGATAAAATTTCCTGTTATGTATTTTGTTATTTGGTTTCCACGATGGCGTCGTGTACTCTAGTACTGTTTCATGTTGGCAGTGTGCAGTGATCTAAATGCCTCCTTATTCAAATTCCTGAAGTATGTTGTGACTTTTGCCAATGTAGAGCATGCTGCTGATGTTAACCTGTTTACATGTGTCTCCAGGCTTGGTGTTATGTCCATTCTCAGATCTTTTTCTCTCGTTGTTATACAAGGATGCAGTTTTCCTTCAATGTGTACTGTCCTATTAGTCTCCCGACACGTGTGTTTCTATTCGCATCACTTTACACTTACTGGCGTTGAAATCCATTAGCCTTTCCTCAGACTATACAACTTGCCTAAGTTGTCTTGGATATCTTAGAATATCTTCAGCTGTTTCAAATATTTTCATTAATTTTACATTGTCAAGAAACATCGACGTATAGGACTCAAGGTAAAGAAGTCATGAACACAAATGAGAAACAGTAAGGGTTTCGGTATCGATACTTGAGGTACTCAGCTTGTAACAGTTCACCAGTCTGATTTCTCGCCCCTTCATCGTGATTCTCTGACTCCTATCTCTTAGGTATTCTCCTGCTCATGCCAGCACAGTGTTCTGATTCATACGTGCCGCTCAAGTTTCTATATTAGTCTTTTGTCTGGAATTGTCTTAAGATTTTCATTCCAGAAAAATGTAAGTATGTGTGTGTGTGTATTTACTTTAATTTTGAATCGAGAATCGAGCCATTAGCTCTTGGACCCCGCCTTTCTAACTAATCTATTTTTCCCCTCTTATGTCTTCTACGTATATTTCTCTCTAACACACCCACACACATCCCCAGAAAGCAGCTCATAGCAGCTGTCTAACTCCCAGGTACCTATTTACTGCTAGGTGAACAGGTACATCAGTGTGAAAGAAACTCTGCCCATTTGTTTCTGCCTCGGGCAGGAAACGAACCCGGACCCTTAGGACTACGACCCCCAAGCGCTGTCCATTCAGCTGCGAGGTCCCTGTGTGTGTGTGTGTGTGTGTGTGTGTGTGTGTGTGTGTGTGTGTGTGTGTGTGTACTCACCTAGTTGTACTCACCAAGTTGTGCTTACGGGGGTTGAGCTCTGGCTCTTTGGTCCCACCTCTCAACTGTCAATCAACTGGTGTACAGATTCCTGAGCCTACTGGGCTCTATCATATCTATATTTGAAACTGTGTATGGAGTCAGCCTCCACCACATCACTGCCTAATGCCTTCCACCTGTTAACTACTCTGACACTGAAAAAGTTCTTTCTAGCGTCGCAGAGGCTCATCTGAGTTCTCAAGTTTCCACCTGTGTTCCTTTTTCGCGTTCTACCCGTGTTAAAAAGTTTATCTACCCTATCACTTCCTCTGAGAATTCTGTAGGTAGTGATCATGTCTCCCCTAACTCTTCTGTCTTCCAGTGTCGTGAAATTCAGTTCCAGTAATCTTTCTTCGTAGCTCATTCCTCTCAGCTCAGGGTATGCCTGTTGGCATACCTCCGAACCTGTTCTAACTTTGTTTTGTGCTTGACTAATGTGAACTCCATCCTGGAGCCGCATACTACAGTATTGGTCTGACGTATGAGGTGTACAAGGTTCTGACTGATTCCTTACACAAGTTTCTGAAGCGAGTTCTTATGTTTGCCAGGCTTGCATACGCCGCTGATGTTATCCTTTTGACGTGCATGTGTGCGTACTCACCTATATGTAATCACCTATTTGTGCCTGCAGGATCCTAGCCGCAGGTTGTCTATTGCAATGACTCCTAAAATATTTCCCTATCCTTCCTCTTTTTAAAGTTTTGAAAGGAGCTTGCCTCTACAGCTTGCTCCTTTAGGTCATTCCATTTACCCACTACCCTCACGCTAAAGGAAAACTTTCTAACATCTCTATGACACATCTGAATCTCAAGAGGCGATCCGTGCACTCTTGTATTATTGATATTCAGTGTAAACACTTCCTCTTTTTCCACCCCTGTCAATTCCTCTGAGTATGTCTGACCTTAGGGGGCAACTGCCCCTCTCCCTCCCCTCTCTCTCTCCTTTTTAGCGTCGTCAGGTTTAGTTTCATGAGTCTTTCTTCATACCTCATCCCTCGCAATTCCGGGACGACCCTACAACATCCGCCACCACAATCCCACAACACCCACACCTCTCAAAAACAGCCCTCACCCTTCAACACCCACCACCATCACAATACCCGCTACCACCACTCCGCACCACAACATCCAAAACTCCACAACACCCACCACCCCATAACACCCACTACCAGAACACCCTCAACCACAACCACACCCACCACAACACCCCCAGCTCCATAACACCCCCAGCACCACGACAACCCCCTCCACCACAACACCAACCACAACACAACACCCACAAAGGCCAAAAACAACCCCCTCCCCCCCTAGGACCACTCCGTCAGCCCGCCTTTATCCAGCGTCCAATTTGAAGTGATTTTACCAAATAATTAACGTACCATCCTAAACTAGCCCATCTAATTTATCGAGGTGAGGATATCCTTTTGGTCCGAGATAGCGTCCAATCTGAGGTTCTTTAGTTCACCTAAAGTTCCTCACAATTTGGACGCTGGTGTTCAGATAGCATCCTAATTGAGTTATCCCTCGAGAGACTAAACGCGGCCGCGTGAAACAACACAGTTTCTCTTGGGGGGAGAAGAGTGAACGCGGCCGTCAGACACATGACGCGATCTCTGATTTCATTGTCAACACGGCCAGCTCTTCTCTCTCGTTTGCTCCACACACTCTCGGCGACACACACACAAGCTTAATTGACGCTAAAGTGTTATAATTGTTTGTTGTTTTATGGCAAACACACTCCCACACTCTTGGACACACACACACACACACACACACACACACACACACACACACACACACACACACACACACACACACACACACACACACACACACACACACACATTATATTATTATACACTAGAAAAAAGAAGGGAGAGGGGGGATAAGATAGGAACATATAAAATACTCAGGGGAATTGACAAAGTGGAAATAGATGAAATGTTCACACGTAATAGTAACAGAACGAGGGGACATGGGTGGAAGCTAAAAACTCAGATGAGTCACAGAAATGTTAGGAAGTTTTCCTTTAGCTTGAGAATAGTGGAAAAATGGAATGCACTTAAGGAAGCGCATTCCTTAAGATTGTGGAAGCAAATTCTATTCATAATTTTAACACCAGGTATGATAGGGAAAAGGGACAGGAGTCATTGCTGTAAACAACCGATGGCTCAAAAGTCGGGGTCTAAGAGTCAATGCTCGATCCTGCAGGCACAAATAGGTGAGTACACACACACACACCAGGTTCGAAAGGCGGGGTCCAAGAGCTAAACAGCTCGATTCCGCAGGCACATTTATCTACACCAAATTCATGCTATTCTTCCTCTCCTTCTCTTACACTTGTAGTCCGAATTGCTTGTTTTAAAATCAATTATAATACAATCCACACAGCAACAGGTCATTTGAACAAATCCACAAGGGCCGTGACGAGGATTCGAACCTGCGTCCAAGAGCATCCCAGACGCTGCCTTAATCGACTGAGCTACAACATGGCCCTTGTGGATTTGTTAATTTGATGATTGTGATTTGTGATTTGATCTATTGTGATTTCTGTGTGTCATTTGATTTCGACGCTATGTGCAGGGACGTGCTAATGGGGAGCCGGTCGGCCGAGCGGACAGCACACTGGACTTGTGATCCTGTGGTCCCGGGTTCGATTCCGAGCGCCGGCGAGAAACAATGGGCAGAGTTTCTTTCACCCTATGCCCCTGTTACCTAGCAGTAAAATAGGTACCTGGGTGTTAGTCAGCTGTCACGGGCTGCTTCCTGGGGGTGGAGGCCTGGTCGAGGACCGGGCCGCGGGGACACTAAAAAAGCCCCGAAATCCTCTCAAGATAACCTCAAGGGAGAGTGAACATGCACATATTGCAATAAATTCTCCCAGGCACATTTAATCAATATGTCTTTAGCAACGCCTCGACATTTTGGCTGTCCGTATGATCAGCTGGTTGACAGCGAGCCCGCCAACGTCACCTGTCACAGAGGCAGGAGCGACCCGGAAATTGTGAAGACGCCTTGTGGGCCGTCACTTGTGACAGGTGCACCGTGGCCCCGTGTTTCTCTCTCTCTCTCTGGCTGCCTGTCTCATTGAATGGCTGCGTGGATGGTTATCTGCAAAGATAGTTATCTGCGTGGATGGTTACACGACTATCTGATCAACTATATGTGCCTGTCTGCGTGGCTGTATTGAGATATCAACCTCGCTTTCTACTTGATAAACACACACATTCAACATTCGCTACAAGTGTTCAACATTCGTGTCTAGAAAGGCTGTATCATGCCCTAAGCAACAACCATCTTCACGATATACTGACACGCAACTGCTAGAATCCATGCAAGCATCTCCCGTTCCTCACGAATCCCAGCCCAGGAACAGGTGAGAGGGAAAGCTGGAAGAGGAGCTAGAAAATCACCATCACTTCCCCTTCCAAAAAACAGCAACAGACCATCTCTCTCCCACTTCTCAAGTGCCATTGTTGCAAATGGGGGCTGCAAGGTGGTGGTGGTCGAGGAGCACCTGACCCGCAAGATAAATCTCTCGGTTAATGGTTAATAGGACGCTGGGTTCTGCTAATTGTGTCGCCGTGGGAAAATGGGTAAGGGGGGGATTGAGGGGGGGTTAGTAGGGGGGTAGGGGATGAGATCTAAGCATCTGAGGTGTTGTTTCTTGTGTATTCATAACCTTCACATCGTTCTCTGGCACTGTGGGTTTTGCTCTGGAAGCTGTGAGTTGAAGTGGCTTCCAATACCTCTGCTTCCTCAACCTCTGCTTCCTCATCCTCTGCTTCCTCATCCTCTGCTTCCTTATCCTCTGCTTCCTCATCCTCTGCGTGCTCATCCTCTGCCTCAACAGCAATCCATGTGTTAACCTCATTAAACACGAGTATTTTCTTTAATTTTTCTGACTCATTTGGGTTTCCAAGTTCCCGGCATGTCAATGTGTTGTGTTTGTGCTCATCTGGGAGAGACTATCCACTGTGTCAATTCCTCTTAGTATCTTGCATGTTGTAATCATATCAACTATGGTCCTATCTATCTTCTAGTTAAATTGTTAACTAGAAATTGAGTTATATAGAAATAGCGTCAAATTGAGTTCTCTTTGACTGTTCTTCTCGCTGCTGATGCATATTCTGCATTATATGAGCCTTTGAGGACGCGCGTGTGTGTGTGTGAGTGTGAGTGTGAGTGTGAGTGTGTGTGTGTGTGTGTGTGTGTGTGTGTGTGTGTGTGTGTGTGTGTGTGTGTGTGTGTGTGTGTGTGTGTGTGTGTGTGTGTGTGTGTGTGTGTGTGTGTGTGTGTGTGTGTGTGTGTGTGTATGTGTGTGTATGTGTCTATATGTCTCTTTACATTTGTCTTTATCTTCTGTCTTTATCTTCTGTTTGTGTTTCTTTCTCTGTCCCTTTCTGTTTCCCCTGTGTCTGTCTGTCTCATTATGTCTCTTCATTATCTCTCACTGTATCTATTTCTGTTTTTATAAGTTGTTTTTTCGTGTAAGGTATTTTAAGCCACGTGAAAATTTCAAAGTGAAGATTGAGACTGAATGATAAATAAGGAGAGAAAAAAAAATAAGGAATTTTTGCAGTAGCAGTTGAGGAGAAATGGGGGAAGGGAAAAGATGGAGAAGAGAAGGGGAGGAGGAGGAGGAGAGTGTAAGGGGAGAAAAGAAGGGGAAAGGGGGAGTGTCTGAGAGCAATGCAGTTTCGACCAATGAATATCTTTGTCTCTGGTAATTTGCCCATCTCTCTCTCTCTCTCTCTCTCTCTCTCTCTCTCTCTCTCTCTCTCTCTCTCTCTCTCTCTCTCTCTCTCTACTACTTTAAAAAAATATTTGCATGTTATTTTTCCTCTGGACACATTGTTCAAGGGGGTAAGACTGCCTTGGCTGCCTCGATGACGGTAAAGTGATACATTTTGCAATGTGGCCTCAGGCGAACACCACCGAGAAGTGTCGAGATGGAAGGAAAATTTTTGTACCAGTTTGTTTAATTCCATTTCACCTTTCCATGTATACATATACACCTGTCCATGTATATATGTAGCCACATGTTTGGATGCCCGGCGGTGCCTGGGTCTCCTTTCCCCCCTCCCCACTCTAGTATATCTTCATCGTCTTCCTTTTCTTCCACCTTCTCTCCCACTCTCTCCTTTCCTTTCCACCTACGTCTTCCTCTCCTACCTTTCCCCCTATTCCCTCTCTCCTTACCTCCCTCTCATGTGTTTTCCAATCTTAGACTGACAAACACACATTCTCGTTTATAGCAATAGATTACAATATATATTTAAACATAAGAAACACTAACTAAACATGCCTAACACAACACACAACACACACACACACACACACACACACACACACACACACACACACACACACACACACACACACAGGGCGTAAACTAAACATATAAAATCAGAAACAGAAAACGGCTCCACTTCGATCTGTAAGTGAAGTGAGAAAATAAGAATGAGAACAAGAAACTCTCATTAAGAGTCTTATAGTAAATACAAAAATTCTGATCAAATATTGGTTTCGTACGACACAAAAAGTGAGACCCAATATAGCAGCAGGGGATAATTAAAACTGATAATGGTTATCATAAGCGAGGAGAGTGGTGTGTGTGTGTGTGTGTGTGTGTGTGTGTGTGTGTGTGTGTGCGCGCGCACCTAGGTAGACATATATATGTGATTGCAAGGCTGATTGCAAACTTCTAAATGCCCGCCTTTCGAGCATTTTAGAATTTTAAGGCAATGACTTGAGTCCTCTCCATATTTTTCCTTCTTATATATACATTTGTAAATATGTAATTAACTTAAAAAATATATGGTTTTAACTTTAATCACTTCGTGAAACCAGAACCACTTTTCTCTCTAACATATGAGACGTTGTTTCTGAGTTCTCTCTGACTTATTGTGTCTATGGTTTCCATCTTTGGCACTCGTTCTGCTCTTTCTGCCTTGAGCAATCCCCATTAGAATTTTTAATGTGATAATCATGTCCCCTCTCACAAAATATTCCTCCTTTTCCCGAGTGTGATTTTAATCTTATCCAAACCGATAATCCTCTTCTGTTCCTCTTTTATTACTTATCTTCTTATTTACTTATCCTATTCCTCATTTTTGTTATCGCCTCCTACCTCCCTTACCCATTTATCCTTATGAAAATACCTTATCCTCTTATCTTTCTCTCCTATCTCATATCCTCTTCCCGTCTTCTCCTATCCCCTTATCCTCTCCTATTGTTCTATCACTTGTCCTCTATTCTCCTTGTTTCCTCCGTCGCTCCTCATCCTGGTGAGGGCCAGAGCCGGTGGGAGTGCCAGGTGGGAGAGTGCCAGGTGGGAGTGCCAGGTGGGAGTGCCAGGTGGGAGAGTGCCACTCACTATGACACTCAGTGACACCCACACACACACTCTCTACCCCCCTTCCCTCCGTCAGGTTTGGAAGGGGAGGTAGAGAGGTTTGGTAGGTTTGTATTTAGGTTTGACAGCTAGTGGTGGCATTCCTTGATGGCACTACCCCCCCTCTTCCCGGCAAGCATCTTTGACAGCCCCTCTCCTATATTTTCTTGTCATCTTCTCCACTGTCCTATCTCATTCCCTTAATCTTCTCTGAATACTTCTCCTGCTTTCTTCCTCTATCTGCCTTTCAAGGAGTGAGAAAGGGAAGGGGGAGGGGCAGGAAGGGAAGAGGGGAGGAGAGGGAGAGAGGGGGACTTTGGAGATGAGAGAGAAGAAAAGACAGGAAGTTAGAGAGGGGGGATAGAGAGGGGGAGGGAAGGTGGAGAGGGGGTGCATAGGGGAAGAGAAAGAGGAGGAGTAGGGGAGAAGGGGAGAAAGGTGGAGAGGGGAGGAGAGAGAGGAAGACACGGGAAGAAATAGAAGAACGAGAGGGGGAGGGGAAGAGAAGGAATTTGGGAAAGAGGGGGGAAGGGGGATGAAGGGAGAGAAGAGAGAGGGAGAAGGGAGAGGGGAAGAGAGAGATCTAATATCGAGAGTATATAGATTTCTCGGCGTAATATACACCGAGAAATCACATTATCTTGTTATATCAATGAACAAATCCACATGAGCCTTAATGACAGTTCGAATCTATGCGCTGGGTGTTCGGCTGGAAACCCCAGTTCATCTTCAGTGGAAGCCTCGGGATACTTGCGGGTGCAGTAGTACCCCAGGTTGCAATTATTTTCCCATGTCGTGGAACAGTCGACTAGAGCGTGCAACTGGGAACACCCAACACATAAGTTCGAACCCTCACCATGACTCCTGTGGATTTGTTCGGTGAGAAAGTGTTGGTTAGCTGGCTTAGGCCGAGGGCTAGGTGGAGAGTGTGGCTAGCTAATAATCTAAGCCAAGGGCTCAAATCCTCTTTAGAACCAGGCTGTTCATCCACCTAATTGTGCTTGGCTTATGTAACCAATTAATCCGCTTCCTGTTATACCAGGCGCATTGTGGACACTCAGCTCACCCCGTCCGAGTCAGCGAAGAGTTAACACATAACGCCTGACCTTTGACCTGTGTTACAGATGACCCGCGGCGCGTGCCCCACCCTGGTCCTGCTGGCCGCCCTGCTGACCCTGGCCGCCTCACAGGGCTTCTACTCTCAGCGCTATGGCAAGAGGAGCGACACCAGAGAGGTTGCAGGTGAGTAACCTGGATTATTACGCTAGCTCGGATAGGCCTGGCTTATTGTGGTATGGGGGAGGAAGGTGGTGGAATGTGGCACTCTATGGCAGCAGTGGAACACAAGAGACAGTCTTTAGGTTACAGCGGGTTGTTGCTTCAGGTGAAAGTACCGGGCCACAGCCTATAATGTATTGTATACAGTCACAGAAGTACACTTGATGCTGCCTATTAGAGGAGGGAAATTAGCTTTAAGAGAAAGAGAGAGAGAGAGAGAGAGAGAGAGAGAGAGAGAGAGAGAGAGAGAGAGAGAGAGAGAGAGAGAGAGAGAGAGAGAGAGAAGGGTCGTTTCTGCTACACTGTGACACTAGGTACCACACGCTGGAAGCAGTATAGTAACCCCCCCCCCCTCACCGCCAAGACAAAACAGTACAAAGATTTATGCATTATCCACCTTTTCTTTCCCTACCCTTTTCCCCCTTAGTACGTTAACTCACTCCCCCTCCTCCCCTCGTCACTTTTTTCTTCCTCACTCTAGGCACACTGCCCGACCTTCTCCCTCCTTTCTCCTAATTCCTAACCTACCAGAGGGTAAATCCCCACAACCTCCTCCCCTCCAACACCCTCATCCTACGACTTCCCCGCCTTCCACCCCAAGCTCCCCACCCAACACCCCTCACCCCAACCCCCCCTCCCCACAGTACACCACAACACAGGTCTATTGATCCACTTATTAGACGCATCACCTGTATCACCCAATCCACCACCTCCACCCCCAACAAGGCACTTAATGCTTAGTTACAAGTGGTTTGTGGGTGGGTTCAGGGGGTGATCCCCCCCCCCCCTGTCTCCTCTTCCACACCCCATTTGTGGCGCAGGGGAGGGGAGGGGGGTGTTGGGGGTCGATATGTACACAAAATTAGTTAAGATGAAAAAGCTTTCGACTACAAGATTGTGACCCGGAGTCGTCTGAGACCTGTGGCCGGTGAATAGTGTTAATTAAGTAGATTGAATATTGTTTTTCGATGAGAGGAATAAGAGAGGGAGTCAGAGGGATGAGGGAGTGAGGGAAGGAGGGAAAGGGGGAAGAGGGGAGGAGAACAGAGGTGGGGAGATGAATGCTATACATGTGCGTCTAGATCCATATCTTGCGTGGAATAATTGAATACATGTGGGTGCCTTTAGCTTTTTTTCCTGCGCGTGTTTAAAACCCTTAACGTTTGAGATCAGCGTAGAACTGCCCTTTGAAGTTGATTCCTGAAGTGGCAGCCACTACGTCTCTCACAGCATCACACTTGATCACCACCTGAATTTTATCCTAGTTTAAAGAAGTTGTCTCTGTCCACTTTGATTATTGTCATCGGTATCTTTCACGTTGGGATCATATCCTCTGTGTTCCTCTTCCTTTCTAGGACTGTTGTATTATATTAACCTGAACTTTTTAAGTTAATTTTGTTACCATCACGAGATGAGGCATTCATCCTGCGTGTTCTTGTAAATTTGTACATGTACAATATTGGACAAAATGTATGTGCGTATGTACGTATGTACAATATGACACACAGTATGACTTATCCACACACACATACATACACACAATCACCCCCGCCCAATCATGCACACACACACACACACACACACACACACACACACACACACACACACACACACACACACACACACACATTGCAGGAACAATATTTTAAAATCTGTCTCTAATGAACGCAAGAGAAGGTTCTCTCCCCCGATAGACCGTTGGACGCTTTTAATATGGCTAAGTATACCCCCCAGAACGGCTGCTGTGGCCCTCTGAGGGCATATTAAGGATTGGCTCAGGGCATGGCCTTGGCCTCCTCCTCCTCCTTTGCCTGCCTTTTCCTCTCTTGCTCCTCTTCTACCTCCTCTTGTATTCTTCTCCTACATCTCCCATTCTTTAATATTTTTCCTTCGACCTGATATTATTCGGAGTAGGGGGACAGGGAAAGGAAACTTTCCTTGAGGGAAAAGGATTCACGATCTTCAGTATTTTGTTATTTTACTCTGTCTTTCTGCTTTTCTACCATCTAATCCGTCAGAGAGGAGGTATAGGAGCACTAGTGACAGTAGTTTAATGTTCCAGCACCATACAGCAATACCGGCGTTGCTGGTCGCAATGTCGCCCCGCTGTGTCCGGTGCCCATCTTGGAGTCGAGTCGTGTTTCTTTCAGTTCGATCGGGCCTCTACGTTAACCGGAACGGACGATCTACCCTTCCTCAAGGCCTGCCGGAGATCAAGATCCGGTCCTCCAGGTTCATCGGTGGCTCCCGCTACGGCAAGAGGTCTGGCTCCCCTCCCGAGTCTGAATTCTCCTCTGCTATCACTCCCGAAGGTGAGTATACAAAAGATAAAATTCAGAAGAATGTATTTATGTTCACACTATTTTGGAGAGTCTGTTGACAAGCCTGAGAGCGCTGGGGGTATGAGGGATGGGTTGACGGAAATGATCCTCAAGTCTGAGGAAACGAGAGGTACTTGAGGAACGAGAAATATAGACGTAATGCACAAGGAAACACTATGTTGCAAAGGTGGGAAGAGAAAGAGAGGAGCCAGTCAGAGGGACATGCATGTACTGGTATTGAGGACATAGAGTTTACCAGAGCATGAGACAGTGAGGGGGAAACTGCATTAATAATTGCAAAGACAGGAAAGACAGAGTACGGGAAGGTCCAGAGTCCTTGCAACAGACGGTCGACAATCAAGGGAGGAAGACAAAAGAAAGAACAGTTAAAATAATCTGAATTTTGTGTAGGTGATACTAGACGATACTAGATGACCAGATAACAGAAACAGCGTAGCAACTCCGACAATTACGGCGAAGTGGAAAGTTAGCCTTGGGGGTAAGAGACAGTCAGCGGGTGCTTCGAGACTATTATCTCCCCATGGAGCAAGTTAATTTGTTATTGTTTTCAGTATTTGCTTTACCATTACTCAACATTTAATATAAACAGATTTATTAAGATGATAACTAATAAACATGGCTTCAAATCTCCATCCACCCACCCACACGTGCGGAGGGTGGGCGTCCTCGACGATCCACACGTGTGGATGGTGGGCGTCCTCGACGATCCACACGTGTGGATAGTGGGCGTCCTCGACGATCCACACGTGTGGATGGTGGGCGTCCTCGTCGATCCACACGTGTGGATGGTGGGCGTCCTCGACGATCCATACGTGTGGAGGGTGGGCGTCCTCGACGATCCACACGTGTGAAGGGATCGACGACGACCCACCCGGGTGGGTCGAGATGAACTAATTACTACATGATCCTCCATGACCACAGCTGATGACACCGACATGACCGCCACTCTCCTCCTGGGGGACTCTGTTCTGTGCTTCCTCGTCGACGTCCCGGACATCTACCGCTGCCTGAAGTGAGTGGTGGTGAAGGCTCTTCTGCTTCTTCTCTTTAATCTTAATGCTTTTTCCTGCTCCTCTGCCTTCTCTTCCTCCTCCTCCTCCTTCTCTTCAGCATGCTCAGCCCTAGAAGTACCGACAGAACTTGGGAAGGAGTGCATTTTTGTATGCACGCGATATATGTTATATAGGTTGACGCTAAGAGATGCGTTTCATTCAGCCTGTCAGCATTTTCAAAGATAGAGACGAAGTGGATACAAGTTAGCTACAGCAGCAGAATATATACCCAAGAAGGATGTGATTATGTTAGGTTGTTACTAAACTCAATTTTTTTCAATGGACCTTCGGTGGTAGAAGAAATACAAATTGGTAGATTGTACCACTGTACATATTAAATGCAGGTATGACGAGAGGTGAAATTTTGCCCAGTCGAGAGGACGGTGTAATCTTGCTTTACATTCTCATTGGTCGTCTTGGGCTGTTGGTGTGGTGTAAATTGGTAGTTATCCCTTGGTTCTGTGGATGGTAGGATGCACCTAAGTGAAGCCTTGGTGTTGATAATTGGATGAGAGTGCTTTATGTTAAGTACTTTCTATGTCTAATTCTATGTCTAATTTTCTATGTCTAATTTTTTGTATTGTCACTGTATCTGTCAGTTATTTCAGTGTTGCTGGTCTAGATGTATCTGGTGGTGTTGGTAGTGTGTTGAAATGATGTGAGCTTTGATAGAGCTCTCTTATTAGTGCTGTATGAAGCACTTTGAAAAGAAGTTGTCATCTTGCCTATATATTGAGATCGTTGGGGCTGACGGTTCCCAAGTGGGAATGTAAAGCCATGAACGACATTCATCTCTTCCAAGACGTTCCATTTGGTTTCAGGAGAGTTCTACTTCTCAATGGTGGGAGGGAGTCTTCTGTCGAATATGTCTTTACTTGTTGTAGAGTCTTATAGTTGGGACAGGTACTTCCTCTTCAGTTAGTTGCATCGGTGGTGCTTCACCTTCCTGTTGCAGGCGATGAGTCACAATAACGTGGCTGAAGTATGTTGACCAGACCACACACTAAAAGTTGAAGGGACGACGACGTTTCGGTCCGTCCTGGACCATTCTCAAGTCGATTGTCTTCACCTTCCTCTTGATAACCTCTTCCACATAACCATTAGAGTATGCATTGTTGACAGGCTTCGAGCAGTTGCCTAAGTGTGCATTCTGGAATCTCTAGAGGAGTGCAAACTGGATCTCGATAATCTTTGTCTATCATCATTCTCAGTGTCTCATCCACGTGCCCACTGATGAGCAGCGACTCAACGTCAAGAGATCTCACACCCGATGGCTGCGACCTTCCCACTAAGTCGACAAATTCCTTCAGAGACTTAGAGGAATGCATGCACTGAAGGCTTTTTGCATTTGCTGATAACAATTTTCTTGTTCACAAAAAGGCTCTTAGCTGCTGCTTTGACATGTTAATTTATAATAATTGTAGCAATTTGCATAAGTTTTTATAAATTTAGAAGTCTAATTTTAATTAAAAAAAATTCCATGGTTGGCTTTCTACTTATGCGAATACCTTTCACCTGCGCAAATCCGTGACTTTTATACCAATTTCTCCCCATGTGTGTAAACTTCTGTCACCTGCAAAATCCCTCCTTCCAATACCATTCGCTTGCAACAATGCAAATCCCTAACACATGTGCGAATCCATTTCATTTGCATGAATCACTCATCAACGCGAATTCTTCTCACCTACACGAATTCTTCTAACTTGTGCACTCCTTTTCTTCCAGGAAACCTGCGTCCGAGGAGGCGAACAATTGAAGTTCCTGAAGATTGATGTGTCCTTGGAGTTTGGGGGGGTGGGGGGAGTCAAGAGGCTAAGACCGGCGACACGGACAAGCCACTCACACCAGAAGCACAGCCCAGCAGCGTAAACCTGTGACGCAGACAAGCAGAACTTGCCAGCAGTTCATACTAGCAGCACAGACCAGTAGAACATCTCAACAGTTCACAAATGAAAAGTCCATTAGCACAAATTCGCACCCCGGGGTATTAAAATATACCAACAGCACGAAGCACCGAAGAATTGGTGCTAGCACGAAGCACCAATTCGGATAGACTTATCCAACATTTAAAACAACTGAGGATTTTAATGGGGAAGCTGCAGACATCTCCCATTCACCTGACGTCATTACCAGAGCTGCCTCCTAGCTGTGGTATATGTGGTATCCGCCAGGAGAAGCGTTTCATCCACCTTCAAGACTTCTCACATATGTCACTCATGCTTCTCCCTTCCCATATGACACTCGACCCACAATACCATTTCAATGTTATATCATATGACGTTTTCTAGGCAGTGCTGTATTTCCTACCTCCGACACGTCGACATTCCCAACTTTCCCTATATTCCCTATATTGCTCCCCAGCCATGTTCCTTTCCTCCCTGCCACCCAACTCCCTGCCACTCATCATCCTGCCACCTGTTACCCAACATCAAGGCCCCCTAGTATTATTTGATACCCTTTGCATTACTAATACTGCATCTGCTGTCAGCTCACCCCAATAATATATCACCCTTCTCAATTCATTTGACAACAGAATCCTACTACCTCCCGAGTTCCGCTATCCGTACATCAAACACAGTCTACCGCACGTCTCTATCTTTCTCCTTACGTGACACTCCCAAACCATCACCCCCCAAGCCCTTCTGACACCCGACACGTCCACCCTTCTTGACCAACCAGTGCCGCTTGAAACACCAACGCCTCTTGACACACACACACACACACACATACTCCCTGACAAACCCACGCCCCGTGACACTCGCTTATTGACACTCGCCCCACCGCACTACCACACCTCCTTGACACATCCACGCTTCCTGTCATAAAACTACTTAGCACATTGAATTATGAACCCCCGTGTCCCCAGTATTGAAAATATGTACATTAACAATGGAATTGGCAAAAATCCCAAATCTATTGTATATATTTGTTTACGTACTAGTCCTTGAAGCCTACCGACAGTCAATTGTCAGACGTAAACTTAGTATTTAACTCTTAATAAGAAATTCACTACTTTATCCTTCTATATGCTGGTCATGATTTGTGGTTTACATAAGCTGGGTGTTTATATAAGCATTAAGGGGAACAATGTTCTCAAACGCTTAAAACTATTCAATACTGTTGGAACGTCGTTCAGAACCGCTGGAATGGATCATAACTGCTGGGGAAATATTGTAATTGCTTGAGGAATCGCCAGAGCGGCAAGAAAGCCTCACAAAAGTCAATAGACCTGGATAAATACTTGTTTAAGAGGTGCTTGTTAATTTATAAAAACAAATTAATGTGTAAGGTAAAAGATTATGAACTCTAGATTAGTTTCAAGCTAAGGATAAAATTGAATATGCATAAATTTGGTTTGATATAAATAACAACTGCCTCTCATGGGCCAAAGAGGCTTTTTGCAGTTTCCCCTTAGCCTTGTGTTCTTATGGTCTGTCTGCTGGAATTTTGTGACAACTGATGGACAAATGTTAAAACTGGAAAATTTCATCATTTCTGGAAACTTAAAACTAGATTTGCTGTCAATCAAAGAAGAACTGTGTCTCTGTATCTTCCCTAATTCTTACTCGAACCATCCCATCCCATAACAGATTATCAGCATGTATAGTTTTTCAGTATACATGACACTTATATCCAGAGGAACCAAAAAAACGGAGTCAAAACCTTACAGTGGGAAGAGAAGCGTATATAGCATGTATAAATACATGTATACATTCATATATGTATACATATACGGATACATGCACGCAACAATGTGTCCATTACACGAGGCTGGCATGTGATGAACTTAGTGGTGTTGTTGCTAGGCTTCTCCGCTCTCTGTACCACAATGCCCCAAAAAATGTCACCAATGTGTGTCAGCGATTTTCAATAAAAGAAATACACTATGGGTGTGGTTCTTTCTAATATATCCTTCTTATGTGACTGTGACCTTAGAATGCACAAGATTGACTCTTAAATGTAATAGTTTTGGCCCTTGAATTCAACAACTGAGATCTGTGAATTGTTTTGCAATAACATGTTTCCTTAAATTCAATAACTATGACCCTTAAATGCAACAACTTGACCCACTGATTATAGTAACTTGGCCCCCATAGCACAATAGCTTTGACCATTGAATACAATAGATCAGGTCATTGAATTCAGGGCATTAGAATTCAAAACTTGGGCTTTTTAGTACACACATTTGGGTCACTATAAAATAATCTTAAGAAAATTGGACGTTATCCGTGATTGTTAAACTTTCGTATTCCAGCAGATTCCGGGATGGTGGGTGGGGGGTGGGGTGGTTATGTTGGGTTAGGTTAGGCTAGGTTAGATTAAGCTAAGTCTGGTTAGGCAAGGTTTGTTCAAGTCTGGATAGGTTGGGTTAGGTTATGGTAAGTTTAGTTCGGTTAGGTTAGGCTTGCTAGGTTTGGCAAGGTTAAGCAATATCAGGATACGTTGGGCTCTCTTAAATTTGGTTAGGTTAGGTCAGGATATGTTTGGTTAGGATAGGCTAGATTAAGATAAGTTCGGTTTGGTTAGGATAAGTATAGTTAGGTGAAACTAGGATATGTTAAGTTACGTTTGGATAGGTGAGGTAATCTTGAGATGATTTCGAGGCTTAGTGTCCCCGTGGCCCGGTCCTCGACCAGGCATCCACCCAGGAAGCAGCCCGTAGCAGCTGTCTAACTCCCGGGTACCTATTTACTGCTAGGTAACAGGGGCATCAGGGTGAAATAAACATTTTGCCCATTTGTCTCCGCCTCTACCGAGGATCGAACCCGGAACCTCAGGACTACGAATCCGAAGCGCTGTCCACCCAGCTGTCAGGCGCCTATGTTAGGTTAGGATAAGTTAGGTTCGACTAATAACATGGATCACAGATAGGCCTACGGGGTAAATAGAAGCATCGCCTATCACATTTCTAACTAATTTCAGCTATACACCGAATCTGCTTCACGCTCGATCTTATTTAATCAAAACCATAGGCCTAATAAATTCAAGTACTCCTCTGTTCTTCTTCTTCACTTTCAAATATGTTATACCTCACTACTTCACTCCTTCATATATATATCTCTAATAAAGATTACATTCAATTACAAATAAAATGACAAGAAAATAAAATAAAATTAATACACATGCCAGAATTTGCAGGAAGATGTACTGGCATAAAATATTATGATGTTAAAATCTTATCCAAATTATAGATAGAGCGTTTTTAACATTGCAAGCAACTGAATTGTTAGATATCTGATTCTGTACAGGAAGTCCTGCTATCCTCGTAGCCTCGTAGGGGGGCCTCATAGCCTGGTGGATAGCGCGCAGGACTCGTAATTCTGTGGCGCGGGTTCGATTCCCGCACGAGGCAGAAACAAATGGGCAAAGTTTCTTTCACCCTGAATGCCCCTGTTACCTAGCAGTAAATAGGTACCTGTTAGTCAGCTGTCACGGGCTGCTTCCTGGGGGTGGAGGCCTGGTCAAGGACCGGGCCGCGGGGACACTAAAGCCCCGAAATCAACTCAAGATAACAAGAATCCTGTTTCATAACAGCGTGCAATGTAAAGTTGATGTTGCCAATACCATATCGGGGCATACGACCTCCATAAGAGTTGCTAATGGTTCTTGGCAGTACTGTAGATGATCTTGTGTGTATCTGCGGTGTTTCACCAGCAACAGCAACTGTTCTTATGTGTACGAAGATGTTTGCTGAAATATCTCAGGTAGCTAATTTAAATCCCAACGTCATTGTGGTAGGAGGTTTCTGACGACGATTTTTTCAGGATAAGATGCCTAATTTATTTTATTGAAGGCGTTCACTGGATCTTAAAATTTACGTAATCCTCCTATCTATGAGGATTTTAATATTAGATTTAATAATATAATTAGAGAATTAATATTAGAGGATTATTTAATATTAGATTTTAATTATTAGGATATTTAATATTAGAATTTAATATTAAAAAATAATTTTTTATGGGATGAGGTAGGAAGGTCTCATATTAATAATTGTGTTGATCTAAGTCTGTGGGTATAAGACCACATACAGTTCATCCTCCTGTTAAATTAGTACTTATAGTAACGATGAGGACCATAGTACATATATGACATAATGGACAATAAGAAAGTAGAAATAGTTACAATAAGAATAGGTCATGCTACGTCACGGCCTTTGTGGATTAGTTCATTTGATGTGGATTCATTTGATCCACATTTGATTGTGGATCTTATTTACGCAATTGTGATTTCTGTGTGATATGCATTAAGTTTTTTCCTGGGAGGCACCTAGTTTGGTTAGCACAAAGGGAGCTAACTGGGAGCCTAGGAGTCTACCTGCTTCAATTCAAAACTAGTAACAAAATACTAAGAAAAAATATGCATTCAACTTGTAGAGGTGTGGAGAAGGAGGGTACAGGAGGCTCACCTGTGGCTGATGTCCGTAGCTTCTTTGTGGCTCCGGGAGCCGACGGGTTGACTGGGGACAAGGTCTGCGTTGGTCTCTGTGAAGGTCGTGAGGGATGTTCGAGGAACTCAGCGTCTTCATAACCGAGTGGGTGGCTAGAATCAGTTGTTATTTCTTGGAGGTGCATAGTGATATGCACCTCCAAGTGAGCATATTAAACGCAGCCACCTCCACTCTCCTCAAGTACCATTAAGGGGGATATTTAAGAGAACAGCATCTATCGATACTTCTCAGGCTCAGTTTATCACACTAGAATCGGTAGTATCAACTTGGTAAATTACAGCTTGGCCATATAAATATAAGGCAATTATGTTGATTTATAAAGAGTAATGATTTGTTTCTGTATTTACAGCTATGCATATTTAAAATTTACTGCAACAGTTTCCAATATTTAAGTTTTAATTATTTACAAGTATTATTTGGAATTTCTTTTCGTTTTTCTTTCCATCACACTGTTCACTTCTTCATTCTTACACTATTCACTTATTTACCATTACCCTATTCACTTATTTACCATTACACTATTCACTTATTTACCATTACACTATTCACTTAATTACCATTACACTATTCACTTAATTACCATTACACTATTCACTTATTTACCCTCAACCTATTTTCTTATATAGTATTACACTATTATCTTATTTATCATTACAGTACTCACTTATCATTGCACTATTCACTTATTTACCATCAACCTATCCAGTAATTTACCATTACACTATTCACTTAATTATCATTACAGTATTCACTTAATTACCATTGCACTATTCACTTATTTACTATCACACTATTCACTCATTTACCATTAACCTCTCCAGTAATTTACCACATTACACTATTCAGTTCTTCATTAATTGCGATTAGTTTGTTCCAGCAGTTCCACGAGTTGTTCTCCAAAGGACAATAATTTCTGCCTTTAGTAACCTCACTCACGCCTAAGCGCTGCTCCTCGGTCAATGTCATGATCACCACGGTATATTGTATATATGTATTTATGTGTGTTTCGTGCACTTAATCCTAGGTCCATGTAGTTACACTATAGTATTAAAGAACGGGACAGCGAGTGAGGGCACCCCCACGCCAACAATGTCACTGTGGTTGTGGGTTGACGGTAATGAGCTCCTGAACAAGTTGGTTTCAAACATCTGTGAGTGTTACGTTGTGTCGGGTGTTTACTGCAAGCCTCTCCCACCTGAGGGTCATACTTCAAAGTATACGTATGTAAGATGACCCATGTTCATTTCTGCTCTGCTTATAAGGAAGCAGGAAGCTTTAATTTGGAGTTTATTACGTTTTTTTTAAGTTTCTGAAGGGGGGGGGGGAAGAGTTGCCTAGTTAGTTATCCAACATGTAGGCTGTTATAGCCTACTGTCGGAAAATATAAATATATTACTTTTTAGCGGTGATGACCAAGTGAAAGTTTAATTGATCTAAGTGTAGTATAGTAATAAACTTTACAGATTATTAGCCACAAAGGTGTAAGACCAGGTAGAGACTCCCAGGTGATGACGGAACTAGCCCAGCGGAGTGTTGCCAGTCTGCGCATGTTTCTTCGGTGTTGCCAGATTTCTGACATTTCGGGGCTCATTTCCTTTCACTAAGTACTTTGCAATTATTTCATTACTGTGTTTAAGCCTTCTGTTCCATTTTTTGAACTACTTACCCACTGAAATGAGTTGAATGTACATATACAGTATAGTGTTTAGAAGTAAATTGCTGTGGGAGGTAAAGTTTTCATTTATTGTGTGTGGGAGAAACTCGCTAATTTATGTCCACGTCGAGGCTTCGCTTGGACGGTGCGGTACCTTGTGTGTCAAAAGAGGCCAGCGTGAGCAACTGAATCCCACAATGACACTCTGCATGGAGAGAACTGCACAGCAGCCCCGACATAACGGTAAGACTAGTTTTGGGTACGTAACCTCATCCCACTATATGTATATGATAACATGCAAGGACAGCACCACGGTTTGAGTTTCAAGACAGTGGGCGCAATAGTCCTTGTACCCAACTCAAGTTAGAGAAGCACCTGTTTTACGTTCTGACGAACGTGGAAGGCCAGCTGGGGCCGCGTCGTACGGACAATAGGTGACTTTGAGGCCCCTGGGCTCTACTCCACTATGCCAAGGCAGCCTATAATGCCTCTGGGAGCCGACTGGAGGCCCTTCGTGGCTCGATGCATGTAAAGAGGAAACACACTATGGCAGCTACACAAAATACTAAACAATTTTGTTTAAAAATTGCCTTATATGAATCATGGATCTACAACCAATAAAATGCTGGTAATTTAATAGTTGCAATAATATCACTTGAATAATGTACTTTATAATTCTAAAGCCTTACTGTTGTGGTGATATTTCCGACATTACGTAAAATGGCCGTCATTACAGGAAGGAGACGTCGCGACAAGGAAGAAATTCAACAATTTTTTTACAAAATAA